CTCAGGCAGACATTTACCTTCCAAGCAGCTTTTGTCTGGGGGGGAAGCAATTACCCCACCCTGCTGGAAAACCTCTGGCTCCAGCCCATGTAGTTTCGACAGCTTGAGGCTCATTAAGAGACTGAATAACAGCCTCTGGTGCTTTGAGTCTTTGCCTGGTTTGCTTCTGGACCCAGGGCTTAGAAAAGCAGACCTTGGTGCACATCTTGGTCCTGTCCAAACACACCCAGCCCCAGCAGAGGAAACCAGAAGCTGCAGAGTGTGGAATACTTCATACAAGGTACTCAAGGCTCGTCACAAACAGTGTCTGACATTGGCCTGTACCAGAGACCATCCAAAAGACTGGGAGTCCTACAAGATCTACCTAATATATAGAAACAAATCCAAACAGGCAGCCAAAATGGGGAGACAAAAAAACAAGCACCAAATGAAAGAACAAAAGAATTCTCCAGAAGAAGAGCTAAATGAAATGGAGATAAGTGATCTATCAGATATAGAGTTCAGAATACTGCTCATAAGGATGCTTAACAGCATGAGAAAAGAAATGGAAACTGTGAAGGAAATTAAGAATGACATAGTAGAAATAAATAAAAAATCGGAAGGAATGAACAGTAGATTATGGGAAGCTGAGGGCTGGATTAGCAAATTAGAAGACAGGGTATAAAAAAATCACTCAATCAGAGAACCAGAAAGAATAAACAGTTAAAAAACAGGAGGAGAGTTTAAGGGAGCTGTGGGACAACATGAAACGTAACCATATTCACATCATAGGAGTCCCAGAAGAGGTAGAAAGTGAGCAAGGGTTAGAGAACCTGTTTGACGAAATAATGGCAGAAAAATTCCCTAACCTGGTCAAAGGAAAAAGTCACACAAGTCCAGAGGCACAGAGAGTCCCAAGCAAGAAGAACACAAAGAGCCCAGACACATCATAATTAAAATGCCAAAAATTCAAGACAAAGAGAGAATCTTAAAGGCAGCAAGAGAAAAGCAAGCTGTTACCTACAACACAGCTCCCATAAGGCTGCACATGCCTACTGCACGGCCCCTACTGGGAATTGAGCCCGAAACCCAGGCATGTGCCCTGACCGGGAATTGAACTGGCCACCTCTTGGTGCCTGGGATGATGCTCAGCCAACTGAGCCATTCCAGCCAGGGTGGGCAGGACAACTTTTAATTACTAAACATTTGCTCTTTTTATCATCCTGCAAGGAACCTTAGTAGCCCCCAAGGTGTCTTACCTCATTCTTAGCTCAGAATGTCATATATATCACACCTTCCCTGTCTACGAACCTCCCCTGCATGTGGGGTCTCTGACTCTCTCCTGTATGTGGCGTTCCCAGGCATATGTACATATTAAATTTAGTTATTTTCTCTTGTTAATCTGTCTCACACCACTACTACACTCACAACACTTCAGACCCCTTGGAGGCAAACCACCCTCAAGGGAGTGCATAATCTTGTCAACTCTCCTGTAATCCAACTCCCACCTTGCTTTCTCCCACTTTCATTTAATCTTTCTTATATTCTCTCCTTAATTCCAAGGACATAAAAGAAACTCCAGACTGCCATTCTCCAGAGCATTTGAGATCTTGCTTCCTGTCATGGTCAGTTTTGACTCAAATAAATTCTTACAAAAAATTCTCTACAGGTTTGGATGTTCTTATGTCAACATGCTCAAGGAAACACAAGTAGAGGGAAATTTCTTCTTATTTTAAAATGGGAAATGAAATCTCTTATTTTTATTTTTTTAAATATGTTTTTATTGATTTTAGAGAGAAAGGAGAGGGAGAGAAACATCGATGTGAGAAACATCCATTGGTTGCCTCCCAATGGGATCAAACCCGAAACCAGGGTATGTGCCCTGACCAGGAATCGAACGAGCCACCTGTTGGTGCATGGAACAACACTCAACCGAGCCACACTGACCAGGGCTAACCTCTTATTTTTCATTTGTATTTGTCTTTACAGTTGTCAACCAGTGGTCATTGGCACCAATTCAGTGCCAACAATAATCCCCAATTTGGGGTGTGGTGAAGAAGGAAACTTTACTCAGTGCAAAATAGCTCAATTGTGATACATCAGGGCTGTGAAAACAGCACAGCTATGAGGCAGCCCTGGGGCCAGGCCCCTCTCCGGCTAGACAGCTCTGCTCTGGCCTGCACTGGTCTGCTCCACTCTCTTCCAGCAAGACATCTTCAGTGTTTCAGCTCATCCAGGGAAATGCAGTCTTTCGTGGAAAGGGAAAGTGTGCTCCCAGAGCCAGGGGGGAGCTGGCCTATATAAATAGAAGTCCCCTGACCCCTGACTGGTCTGTCCTCATGCAAATGAGGACTCCAAATCCATGAAATTTGATTGGTCCAATGGAGCTGCTCTAATTGGTGTGGTAAAGATGTTGATAGAGATATAGCTGAGCAGCTCCAATTGTATGGGGAAAACCTCAGACTTATTGGTTGAAATAGGGTTCCAGAAACTCCTTTATAAGGGCTGGTTCAGATTGCAGAAATGCCGTGCAGGCAGGCAGTTCAGTGCAGAGGCAGGGAGTTCGGTGGAAACTTCTCTGTGAAGTGCAATTTGCATGAGAAGCACCTGTGTTGAAATGGTTGCTAGGCTCTGTGTGTTTTTTAAATTTGAGTGCAGTTAGCCATCAGGAGCCGTTCTTAGTAGGTATCTTCTTTCTCAGGCTCCTCACAATCTATTCCCTGCTTGATGCTCTAAATTCCAAAGATCCACAGTGAGGGGGTGGGGGTCACACAGGAGAGCTAGAGTAGGAAGGGAGTCACTGAGCAAAAAATATATTTGACAAAATCATTCTGAGTTTATGTTGGAGTACGTGACTCTCCTGGAAACAGTGCTTCCTCTCTAACTTCTTATGGAAACCTACTCTCTCACTGTTTTTCCCAGGAATTTTCTGAATCAGTTTTGAATCTATTAATTATCACATTACCCACATTTGTTACATTTTGGAAATTGCTTGACATTGTAAGAGGTTAAGTGTTGTAGATACACTGAGGACTGAAAGATTAGGAGCTGTTAAAGAACAAATTATTCAATGACACAGTAAGGAAGACTTTATTCAAGGGATTGCTGTTTTGATGGGTATAGGGACCACTGCAATGGAATCTTTCAGTGGGCAGGAGAGATTGGGCTCAAATCTGAATATGGCATGGGCAAGTTGGAGCAGGGTGGGGGTCAGTGGGTGGGAAATTAGAGGAAGAAATATCAAGAGTAAGGGGTGGGGGGTTCTGGCTAAACTGACCAGGCCAGGATGATCAGACATCACCCAGATGGTGGACCATGAGAAATCCAACCAGATATGGAGGGTGGGGGTTCTGGTCAAACCGACTTAGCAGCATCCTTGCTAAGACTGGCCCACGCAGAGACAAACAGGGACGTCTAGAAGTGGAGAAAGAGTTCAGGGGAGCCTGAGTAGAATTTGGTCAATGAGAGAATCTTTGTTAGCTCTTTTCCCTATATTGGCAGCCCCTTTGTTTTTGTTATTCTTTTTATTCCAGTATTTACTGAGCCCTTATTATATGTCAGGCACAAGGTTAAGTGTTTTAGATGTGTCTGTTAATCCTCCTGACAGCCATGCCAGGTGGATATAATTATCTCCAGTTCAAGGATGAGACATATGAGTGCCTGGTATAGGATTCCATAGGTACAGAGTAAGTGTTGAAGTTCGAATCCACGTTTGTCCTAAATGACCACTGTGCTATACCGTAAATAGGACAATGAAAAAGTTAAATATCAACAACAAAATTCACCCCCAGCCCCAGGGCCCACCCAAGTTACTGGGACAGGCCCTCCACCGTCATCCCGGAAATTCCAGCTGCCCTGGCTTGCAGCCAAACCAGGTCCCCCCTGCAGTCCACAGGCCTTGGTGAGCAGCTGCACCCCGCGCCTTCCCCGCGCCTCGGGGGCCAGGCNGCCGACAATCACGCCAGCGCACTCTGATTGGGCGCCTCCGGAGGCGGGGCCAGGCCCGCCCACCACTCGGCTGCCGACAATCACGCCAGCGCACTCTGATTGGGCGCCTCCGGAGGCGGGGCCAGGCCCGCCCACCACTCGGCTGCCGACAATCACGCCAGCGCACTCTGATTGGGCGCCTCCGGAGGCGGGGCCAGGCCCGCCCACCACTCGGCTGCCGACAATCACGCCAGCGCACTCTGATTGGGCGCCTCCGGAGGCGGGGCCAGGCCCGCCCACCACTCGGCTGCCGACAATCACGCCAGCGCACTCTGATTGGGCGCCTCCGGAGGCGGGGCCAGGCCCGCCCACCACTCGGCTGCCGACAATCACGCCAGCGCACTCTGATTGGGCGCCTCCGGAGGCGGGGCCAGGCCCGCCCACCACTCGGCTGCCGACAATCACGCCAGCGCACTCTGATTGGGCGCCTCCGGAGGCGGGGCCAGGCCCGCCCACCACTCGGCTGCCGACAATCACGCCAGCGCACTCTGATTGGGCGCCTCCGGAGGCGGGGCCAGGCCCGCCCACCACTCGGCTGCCGACAATCACGCCAGCGCACTCTGATTGGGCGCCTCCGGAGGCGGGGCCAGGCCCGCCCACCACTCGGCTGCCGACAATAACGCCAGCCCACTCTGATTGGGCGCCTCCGGAGGCGGGTCAGGCCGAGCAGCGCGCGCTGGGTACTGAGTGGAACAGCGGCGGG